TCATATTTCCAACTTTTGCCTATACAAATCACCCCAAAATTTGATGTTTTTTCGCTTACGTTTGCTCTACGATTATATCTGTGTTCAGTTACCTACGGTATAGGAAAGAATAAGCCTTTAGACGTCTTTTGAATGTACTTTTATGGGGAAATAATACTTAATTCGAAGGGCACTTTTCGTTTGATTATGCGCTATTTGTTATGATTTATATAGGAAGCAGTGTCTGTTGAAGAAAACTGGCCCTAGGACCTTATGCGCAGGTCTTTGACTCCAGTTACCTCCAGATTTGAAGTCTTCGTGAAATTTGGCGCATTTTGATAGCAAATTCGTGTTTATTTATGGCGATTTAGGATGGGCAAAATGCGCGCAAAGATGTGGGTTTTGCTTGTGTTTACAAGCTCATTAATAATTCAATTGATCTCGGCTGTAGAAGATGGCGAAGGGACGTCTTAGACTCAATATCTCCCTTATATGTCTTTATATATTGTATACCAGAATCCAGATAAGTGTTGAACAATTGTAATGATTTTGCGTTTAGTAAAATGTACTTTTTAGTTATTCTTCCTCATTATAATTGAAGTTTGTGCTTGGGAAATCTCGAAGCGTGGGCTTTGGTCTCTCCGCCATATAATAATAATAATATTAAATAATGAACTTTATTTAAAGAAGGTATTACAAAACCAGTTCAGCATAGCTAATCTTACACTGAGCCTAAAATGGAGCGTCTGTAACTTCACATTAAGCGACTGGACACTAGTTTGAGCAAATGTTCATTCATATAGGGCGAAAGTTTGATATGCGGCGGCCGGGGGTCCAAATCTACGGGGGTCCAAATCAACTGGGACACCGGGCTGAGTTTCAGCCAGGCACCATGTAATCGCAAATAATTTCAGCCCGGGCTAAAAAAACAACAGTTGAAATGGCTTTATTTTGCGTGTTTGTTACATCTTTAAATACTTTACATATAAGCACAGTCTCGTCACACAAGTCAAATAGTCGACTAATCAGCGTCTGAATGCTTCAAAGAAGCGTAATAGGCTTATTGTTCTATTTCGTGACAGTCAGATTATTTCAGCCCCGGCTGAGATTTTAGCCCGGGTTGACTATAAATATAGGATTAGTTCTGACTAAACTCGGCCCGGGCTCAAACTGCTTATGTAATCGTGATGCAATATTGCAATTTCAGCTCGTTTAACCGGGCTGAAACTCAGTTCGAGCTGAAAACTCTCCATGTAATCAGCCCCTTAACTCTATAGAATTTGGCATATGTGAATGCTATGGACATTTCATATGATATTAGAAGGAAGCAAATAGTTGACCTCCCGTCTAAAGACGAAAGCCGACTTAATTATGGCCTCATTGTACAATTACTTTATGGTTTCCGTGTTTGGATGGACACGGAAAGCATACAAGCCAACTGTTTTATAAAATAACAACTTTACGCGTTAAAATTTCACATTAAAAAAACTTTGACTTTAATTAAATTTCCGTGTTTCGATTGCCTGATCCAAACACGGGTTTCGCCCAATCAGAGCACGCGTTAAGGCCTGATTCCACGGGCGCTTTTTCTTGGCGAAATGCGAAATATTTCGCCTGTTTCTTTTGAATTGCGACTATACTAGAATAAAATTATTTCTACTTGATTGATCACAATTCAAAAGAAACAGGCGAAATATTTCGCATTTCGCCAAGAAAAAGCGCCCGTGAAATCAGGCCTTTATACACATGTTATTTTATAAAATAACATCATTATCGATGCGTAAGCATAAGCAAAATTTCTGATTCCTACGAGGCTACGGGTTTCCGCTTTTGAATTTGCATACTTATGCAAATACTCGGTTAATATCGGTTGTGTCTGAATGGGATTAAAGCCTGAATAAATTGAATGTCGATACATGCATGTTTTTTGTGCATCGAGTTAAAGCGGCCGGTATTTCAAACTTATAGCTCGATCGACCGTAGTGAATAGTTATACTTATATACGCAAATATTTCTCGTGGCAAGATTCGAAAAGATACCGATGTTCTCTTAATTACAACTGTAGTGTGACTGAATGACTTCAGTACACAGTTTATTAGCTAGTTGATGTTTTGCCTTAAATAAACTCGATAAGTAATTAGGTGAGTTAGGTGACCGCAAGGGAATATAATATATTGATATATTGCGTGGTTTCTTAAGAACAAAGCAACAACATATTATATTGATATATGGCGTGCTTTCTTTGGAACGAAGCAACATAATACATTGATATATTGCGTCGTTCCTTAAGAGCGCGCTTTCTTAGGAATAAAGCAACATAATATATTAATATATTGCGTCGTTCCTAAAGAACGAAGCAACAACATATTATATTGATATATTGCGTGCTTTCTTAGGAAGAAAATTTACGCGTTAAAACTTCACATTAAAAAACTTTGACTTTAGCAACATAATATATTGATATATTGCGTCGTTCCTTAAGAACAAAGCAACAACATATTATATTGATATATTGCGTGCTTCCTTAGGAAGCCACATAATATATTGATAAATTGCGTCGTTCCTTAAGAACGAAACAACAACATATTATATTGATATATTGCGTGCTTTCTTAGGAAGAAAGCCACATAACATATATATTGTAATAGACCGTAACGACTTATTTAGTTATTTACCCATGTATTCTATATGTCCCAATATTGGGATCTTGTTTGAATAAATTATTATTATTATTATTATTATTGATATATTGCGTCGTTCCTTAAGAACAAAGCAACAACATATTATATTATATATGGCGTGCTTTCTTAGGAACAAAGCAACATAATATATTGATATATTGCGTCGTTCCTAAAGAACGAAGCAGCAACATATTATATTGACATATTGCGTGCTTCCTTAGGAAGAAAGCCACATAACATATTGATATATTGCGTCGTTCCTTAAGAACGAAGCAACAACATATTATATTGATATATTGCGTGCTTTCTTTGGAACAAAGCAACATAATATATTGATATATTGCGTCGTTCCTTTGAGAACGAAGCAACAACATATTTTATTGATATATTGCGTGCTTTCTTAGGAACCTTCATATATTGATATATTGCGTCGTTCCTTAAGAACGAAGCAACAACATTTTATATTTATATATTGCGTGCTTTCTTAGGAAGAAAGCAACATAATATATTGATATATTGCGTCGTTCCTTAAGAACGAAGCAACAACATCAGTATTATATTGATATATTGCGTGCTTTCTTAGGAACAAAGCAACATAATATATTGATATATTGCGTCGTTCCTTAAGAACGAAGGAACAACATATTATATTGACCCTTACAAAACCAAATTATATGGGACATATATGGACCAACTATGGGATTGATATGGTTCAACCTATGGGCCATATATGCATGGAAGTTATATGGCTTTGGTATGGCCTGGTTGCCTTCATAGCATACCCATATCATGTTTTTGATATGGGTTTGATACGTATTTGGTACAAATCCATACATATCCCATATGACTTACTATGGGAAATACATGGGTTCCTTATATCATTTCAGAACAACTTTGCTATGGGTAAGATAGGATTCTATATGGGAATGATCTGGGAACATGATATGGAATTCATATGGTTCTTGATGTATAAACTATGGGATTGATATGGTTCAACCTATGGGCCATATATGGAAGTTATATGGCTTTGGTATGGCCTGGTTGTCTTCATAGCATACCCATATCATGTTTTTGATATGGGTTTGATACGTATTTGGTACAAATCCATACATATCCCATATCACTTACTATGGGAAATACATGGGTTCCTTATACCATTTCATAACAACTTTGCTATGGGTAAGATAGGATTCTATATGGAAATGATCTGGGAACATGATATGGAATTCATATGGTTCTTGATGTATATAAACTATGGGATTGGTATGGGTGCAACAATTATCATATTATACTGGGAATGGTATGGGCACTTGTTTTTCATCCCATACCAAACCCATGTTAACATGTAACATCCAAAAGCTAGATGTTAACACATTGTGGGTTTGGTACGGGATGAAAAGAAGTGGCCACCATTCCCAATATACTTGCTACAGCTCAAGAAAATTGTACTGGCTGGCATACATAGTTTTACTAACATGCAAAAAATCTTCAAAAACACAATACACAAATAAATAACATAGTTAATAAATAAACAAATTACAAAATTGTTAACTAATTTACTATTTCTTAATGAACTTGCAAAGTTTGTCTAACTAAATTACCATGGTATAACTATATATGCAAACATGGGATAATGTCAAGTACTAAGTGCTTATTGATCTATATAAATGCATCGATATCTATAATGTTCTCAGTCCTCTCAACTTGTGGGCCTGACTACAGACTATTCAAACTCTTTGCATACGCCTGGCCTCCACGTCACTTTTCATGTTTATTTTTTGTATCACCTGACTTGGTGTAGGGCCTTCTTTAGAAAATCTTGCAAAGCAATATGCCCACTGGTGTCAATAGCAGAACATGCCAGATCCTTCTACAACCTCTATCATCTGCAGGACAAAATAATTCAAACGTCAAGATTTTGCCAGATCTGACAAAAATGATTGTACTGACAGAAAATTTATACCCTATATTCTGCAGCCAAATTTTCACCAAGCATTTTTGCATCAAATTTAATTTTTACTCTGTCAAATGCCGAATCGTTATGTTTTATTATATGTCTAATTACAGACAATTTTATTTGTTAAGTGGAGAGAAACAAACAGAGGTAAATTAAAAACATATTATGATCGATTCGAAAAGCATGTCAATCCGAAAGCAAACCCCGTCTTTGCCAGATATAAGTTTCATAACAAAATACAAGGCCCCACCGAGCCAGTAGAGGAATTCACAACAGAGTTACAACTCCTAGCCCAAGATTGTGAGTTCCACGACCAAAATGAAATGGTTAGAGACCGAATTGTGTTTGGGACAAATTCAAACAAAGTGAGGGGAAAACTTATAATGGAAGGGGCAAAACTCACGCTAGAAAAAGCTATACAAATCGCAAGAACCTATGAAAAAACCCAAGCCCAACTCAAAAGCATGTCTCCTAAAAACAAGGAAGAAAGCATTCACTTAGTTAGACAGCAGAACCAAGGCAGTCAATCTCAAAGATCGAGACAATCACTTGACCAAAAGTACCCCCAGCAATCACTTGAACAAAAGTACCCCCAGCAAATAAGCCAGTGTGGGAACTGTGGGAGAAAGCACTACAGATCAGAGAAATGTCCAGCAAAAGGGCAAACCTGTTACCTATGCAACAAGCCCAACCATTTTGCACAAGTATGTCGATCAAAAGGGAGGCGGAGCCAAATACACCCTATCGAGAAGGTAGAATGTGACCCCTCAATGACCCAATTTGAAACTCTAACTTTTGAATCAATTACTGTAGCTAAGGTTAACCACCAAAATTTGAAGGCAGACGAAGTGTTTGCAGAGGTGGGCATCCACCTAGATCCAAAGCAACAGTCAAGGCTTCCCTACAAACACACGCAAAGGCATCACTGAAAGCCAAAGTCGATACTGGTGCCCAAGGGAATATACTCCCCCCTAAGATTATACCGGGCGATGTACCCCTGCAAAATTGATCTGAAGGGCAACCCCAAGAAAGGAGCTACAAAACGTTCTAATACTATCCTCACAGCATATGGGGGATCCAAGTTACACCACCATGGCACCGTCACCATTGATTGCGAATTCAAAGGCAAAAGATCTGCTGCACAGTTCTATGTCACAGACACACAAGGCCCTGCTATCATTGGCCTACCAACGTTGATTGACCTCAACCTTGTGAAATTCAATTGTGCCATACTCAAACAAGTGTTACACAGCAACACACTATGGTCCACCACAAGAACCCCTGAGCAACCACCACTAACCCCCGAACGACCACCAATACCCAAACCAATAAAGAGCAAAGAAGATTTGATAGATCAATACCCAAACTGTTTTAATGGCATAGGAAAATTCGAAGGAGAATACCACATAACCACCGACCCATCAGTCCCACCTGTTATCCACCCTCCGCGATGAGTTCCAATCAGTCTGAAAGATGACATTAAGAAAGAACTAGACGAGATGGTTGCAAATGGTATCATAACTAAAATAAACGAAGGAGAGCCCACAAGATGGGTAAACAGTCTTGTCTACAAGAGGAAACAGAATGGACGATTGCGTTTATGCCTAGACCCCAAAGACCTAAACACAGCTATCTTAAGAGAACATCACGCCATTCCTAACTTGGAAGAAATTTTACCAAAATTACACAAAGCAAAGTTCTTCTCAATAGTCGATGCAAAGTGTGGCTATTGGAATGTGGTACTTGATGAAGAATCAAGATATTTAGCTACCTTTAACTCCCCATTTGGCAGGTACCGTTTCAAGCGTATGCCCTTTGGGCTGAACATGTCACAAGACATCTTCCAAGCAAAGATCGACCAAACATTCGAAGGATGTAGAGGCGTTGTGGGTATCGCAGATGATATTGTTATCTCTGGCACAACAGAAGAAGAACACGACCAAAATCTACGAAGCATGATGAGCCGGTGCCAAGACACAGGTCTGAGACTAAACCCTGACAAATGCCACATAAAGCAAGAGAAAATAAAGTTTTATGGGCTTATCTGCGGTCCAGAAGGAATTCAACCAGACCCTGACAAAGTGTCCGCCCTGAAGCAGATGGCCCCACCGACCAACAGCAAAGAACTACAGATATTCTTGGGTCTGGCCACCTATATGGCACCATTCATCCCGAATCTCAGTCACCACACTGCCTCACTGCGACAGCTACTCAAGAAGGAGAGCAAGTTTGCCTGGGACGCAAGCCAACAGGATGTGTTTGACAGGATCAAGAATTTAATTTCTGAAGAAGTTACACTAACATACTTCGACCCAGAGAAAGTACTGCAAGTTGACGCATCAACAAAAGGCCTGGGAGCTACACTCTTGCAAGAAGACAAGCCAGTCGCCTTTGCCAGTAAAGCTTTAACTGACGTAGAATCACGATACGCAAACATCGAAAGAGAACTCTTAGCAGTTGTATACGGATGCAAGAAATTCCACACTTATCTCTACGGCCGCAGTTTTACAGTCCAATCTGATCATAAACCCCTTGAATCTATCCACCTTAAGCACCTTACATCAGCCCCACCCCGCCTGCAACGGATGTTGTTGCGCCTACAGCCGTACAGCCTTACAATCAAGTACCGTCAAGGAGCAGATATGGAAATCGCAGATGCCTTATCAAGACTTTCGCCCCAGGAAACAGAGC